ACAGGTGTTATGTCATGTTTTTGACAGTGTCATTTCAGTCTTATGCACACCCCTTCAAATAAAGTGTTACCCAAACCTTTGCTATACTAGAGCCTCTTATATTGCATTTTTTGTTCAGTATAGTATTGGTGGCTTGTAGTAGCATGGCAGTGGTGGATTCAATCGGTAAGGTACCAAATACACGACACGCCACTGGTTAAATGTGAGTTTGTGCCTGCAATTCTAAACACTCATGGACCACCTAATAAGTGGTCAAAGTCTTGAGAAAGACTGTCTTAAAGCAAAGGGAGATCTGCTGCTACAACAACTCTACTGGGAAAATGCATGCAGACTTTCTGATCTGACACAGTTGGCTCAAATTTAAATCAGGAATTGTAAGCTACAAGTGTACATGGTTAACTATTCTACCCATCCCAATGTCTAAGCACATAACAGTCCATCCTCTCTTGGTCAGCTGTTCTCCCACTCAGCATCTCCCCAGGTACATTTTATTCCAGAGATCATCAAAGGTTATCACTTTTAAAAGGGAAAAAAGAAACACAGATCTAAAACAAGCCTAAAGAAATGCAGCAACAAAATCCCAGAATTGTACTTCATGGAGTTAAAAATGGAGCTAAAGCGGAAGTTCAGGCTGGAAGACTCTGCCCCCTCTGTTCGCCCATCAACGTCATGCTCATCTCCGACCTCAGTGCTGGACCTCACCCGGCGCGTTCAATCAGCAATCAGGCTCTGCATAAAAGGATCCACAACCAAGCCGTCAGCGCTTCCCAGCTGTGTTCAAGTTGGTACGCGATCTAATGTCTGACTTCGAGTCCGATAATCCTGCCGGCTCCCAGTTCGCTTTGCGTCGGGGTCCTGGTCCTTCTTCCCCTTCACCCGTCCGGCGCAGCGCTCGCCTGGCCTCTCGCCCGGAGCATTTTGTCCCCAGCTTCGATCCTTAGGTCCAAAGGGATCTCTCTCTCTGCGGGTCTCAGTTCTCCGCAAGCGGTGCCCTTAGCCGCCCTTCTGCCACCCGATGTCGACTCACCGTCTCTTCTTTCTCCACCGGCTCCTGCTCCCCAGCCCCCACCTCCGGTCTACGGGAAAATATCTCATAAATCCTCTGCTCCCCCCGCCAAACGACGCAAGGCTCGCCCTCATTCCACCCGAATGGATGTTTGTTTTCCCGGACCTTCATCTGCGTCAGTGCCGTGTCCTGCGCCTCTACAGCAGGCTCCCTCAAGCCATGGACCTTCCCTTCTCCCTCCCTCTCG